GCTCCCTCCTTTCTTATCCTCAAAGGAGTTTCTGTCACTGCCTAAGTGACACGGATGGCACAAAATTCTCAGCTCCATCTGTTCTCCTAAGTGTCAATTTACCTTCCATAAAAGTCATTTGTGGACCCGAAGCGTTAGTACAGTGGGTAGGGGGCCTGCCTTACACAGGCCGACCCAGCTCCATCCTATGGTCGCGCAAGCTGTCAGGAGTGATTCCTGAGTGCAGAGCTGGAAGTCACCCCATGGCACTGCCAAGCCATCTGTTTTCCTAACAGTACTTCCTCTCCTTCCCTTCCCCAAGAAGAGTATTAAGTCATGAATTCTGTCTCCCTGAGACTCCTTCAGTCAGGAGTGTCTCCTTGAGTCCTTTTTTTTTTTTTGAGTACAAGTTGGTACTTGTAAAATCCTGCCTTTCCTCTTTTTTCTTCTCTATCATTTGTCAATTTAATTCACAATCCCCCAATTACTGAGTCTAAGAGGGGAGGTGGGAAGTTTTCCTAACAGGAGACATCACTGTAGGTCCAGTGGCTAACACCTCAGTCATCCCAGCATTTCTCTTATTTAGCAACTACAGATAGACATTTTAAAACAAACTTTTTCATTTCTTTTTTGTTTATGTTGCTGGGAAAACAGGGTTTCACACAAGCAAAGCAAATTACATCCCACCATTTTCTTCTGTTTTGTTTGATCCCCAGTGATGTTTGGGGGTTACTCCTGGCTCTGCATTCAGGAATTACTCCTGGCAGTGCTTGGGGACCAGACAGGATGTCTGGGATCAAACGTGGGTCTCCACCCACTATTATCTCTCAGTTCCCCCAACCCCACCCCCCTTTTTTCCCCCTATTTTTTTCTTCTTTCTTTTTGGGTCACACCTGGCATTGCACATTGACTCCTGGAATCAAACCCGGGTCAGCCACGTGCAAGACAAATGCTCTACCTGCTGTGCTATTGCTCCAGTCCTCCCCCCCTGCCCCCACTCCACACCCACACTTTGCTTTCTTATTCTTAAGAAAGTGCAATGGTGGGACTGGACCCGGATTTGATTTCCAGCATCCCATATGGTCCCCTGAGCACCGCCAACAGTGATTTCTGAGTGTAGAGCCAGAATTAATCCCTGTGCATCACCAGGTGTAACCCAAAAAGTAAAAACAAAAAAAAAAAAAAAGAAAGTGCAATGATTTCAAAACCAGCATTCTCAGTTGGAGGGCCCAAGACAGTTCTGTTTTCATTTCACAGATTCCCCGGTAAAGGATTTGAAACCACTGTTATTTTCAAACAGCTATAGCCTTGTGAATACGCTATAATTTTAGATACCAAAAACCAAGACAAAGTGATGAGACTCACTGTATTATGGCATTGCTACGATGCAAAATGTTAGACAGAGGTAGGCTTGCAAATAGCCATCTTATAGCAAATTCCAATTGTAAGTGGTTATTTAAAACATCAGTTTTACAGAAATGCTCATTATAAAACACAGGGTCAAAAGAATTTCTTCTGCCATGGAAATGTGACATTGAAAGCACAAACCATCAAACAGCAACAAACATTTCATCCCTCACTCCTTTCTCCCTCCCTCCTCCCTGGAACAAAGTAATATGGAAGCCACAGGACTGTGAAAGAAAACCTTAAACAAATCATCAGGGCACTGGTCAAATTCTGAAGGTGCAGAAGGCATTAAAACAGAACAACATTTGCTCAGGCATTTAAAGATTTTATTCGTTGCACACCTGAAGTTTCCATGATTCTAATTTCTCTGACTCACCTCTTAGGAAATAACCTTTCCATGCCGGGAAAGCCCAGTTTCACCGTATTGAAAATGGGGCATGGAGGTTAACGCATGATGCTTGATCTAATTCTGCTAAACTAAATGTCAGTATTTAGGGGTTCTCATTTGGAAATTTATTCTTTTTCTTCTTTGTGAGCCATACCTGGCACTGCTCAGAGCTTACTCTGCTCTTAAGATCACTCCTGGCTGGCCCAGGGGACCACAGGAGATGCCCGAGAATGAACCCAGGTTGGACCCTCTGTGCTATACTATCACTCAGGACATCTGTAGATTTTCAAAAGTGAATGTTTCTGTTATCACCAGTGTATATATCATCACAAAGATAAAAGAGATCCTTTTGGGTGGTAGCAACATGACCAAATAGTGCTGGTAACAACACTATTTCCCGAAAGAACCAACGTGGGCGTGGAAGGGCAGGTGGAGTAAGCTTTCCACTCAACACTCAGAACTGTTGGACCTTGAGTTTTCCTGCTCTCTTCACAAGGGTCTTTGCAACACTGGACAGTGGTCCATGGTGCTGGGGATGTCGTGTTTCCGTCAGGTGCTGGAACTGTAACTCAATGAGACCACATGCTTGGGGGCCGATTCCTTCTCCCTCATGCTCCTCATGTCTGAGACTCATGCTTACAAAGTTCAGTAGGGTCATCGCAAAGGCTGTGCTTTGGCCTCTTTTTTGGTTTTGGTGTTACACCTGGTGGTGCTGGGGGGAAGGGTTCCTTCTGGCTCAATGCTTGGGGTTCGTGTGGTGCCGGGATGGAATCCAGGGCTCCTGCCTACAGAGCCTGTGCTCCAGCCCTGGAAGCCGCCTTCTTAGTCCTGTGCCTTTGTTTCTATACAGAGATTATATTTTCCTTTTTTGTTTTATTTTGGCCACAACCAGTGATGCTCAGGGGTTACTCCTGGCTCGGTGCTCAGGGATTACTCCTGGCAGTGCTCAGGGGATCATATGGGATGCCGGGATTCAACAGGGGTTGACTGCATACAAGGGAAGAATCCTACCTGTTGTACTACCAATCCAGCCCCTGGGTTTTATACATAATTTTTTAAATATAGAAGTATACTGTGAATGCAAAATCCAGAAAGGTAATGGTGTGAAACAGATGAGTTCATGTTAAACGTGTTACAACGGCTGGTAGCCTCTGCAGCTGCACAGGAAACGGGGTCAGAGGTCCGAATGGTGGGGAAACCTTAGAACAGTCTTCAGGGCTGTGTGTCAGAACTGTTCAGTCAGTTTTATACTTTTCTAAATCACAACCAAAGTTATCCTGGATTTAGAATTTGGCAAGTGTTTTCTTGCCAGGGGATCATAAAAGCAGGTGAAAGTATCTGCTTGGTGGTATGTGGTATGTTCTTCTTTTTCTTTTGTTCTGTTTTGGGGCACACCTGGTAATACTCAGGGCTACGAACTGCTCTGAACTCAGGAGTCACTCCTGGCGGGGCTCAGGGGACGATATGGGATGCCGGGAACTGAACCTGGTTTGGCTGTGTGCGAGGCAGGTGCCCTTCCCACTGTGCTATGGCTCTGACCCCACTGGCATGTTGGCATGTAAGAAAACAGTACCTGGACAAAACTAAGGTCAGAGGGTAAAGAAAAGGTAAAAGGTAAAGGCCCTCCCGTTGTTTGTCGATTTGCTCGAGCGGGCCCAGTAACGTCTCCATTGGAGACTTTGTTGTTACTGTGTTTGGCAAATCGAATACGTCAGGGGTAGCTTGCCAGGCTCTCCGAGAGGGGCGGAGGAATCGAACTCGGGTCGGCCGTGTTGGCTGCGTGCAAGGCAAACGCCCTACCGCTGTGCTATCGCTCCAGCTTTGTATTGTCTTTAAATTGTACCAAGGTCAGCTAAAGAATATTGGGGAAATGAGAAAAACGTTTCATACCATTGTATAAAACAGACAAATCAACCAAAAAACCTTTTTCCATGTAAAGTTCTTCAGGACTTAATCTGAGGTAATGTCTCCATTGGTTTAAAAGAAAAAAATAATCTGGATTTTATAATAATGTAGAGGCAAGAAATAGTGGTAAGATGCCAAATGGGAAAGATCGAGAAAATAGGTGATATTTGAGCAAAGGGGTGAACTACAGACAGGCAATGTGTTTGTGAAAAGTGATGCTGTTACACATTCAAGTCCAGATCAGAACTAAGCTACCTCACGATAAGGCTTCATTGTCATTTCTTAGTGCTTTAATTTTGGGGAGTTTGGGTATAATTTCAAGTACGTCAGAACTGTTCTCAACCCTTGCATCTATTTCCTAACCCCCAAAATGAAGGAGATGGGACTAGATAGTACAGCACGTAGGGTGCTTGCCTTGCATGCGGCCGACCCAGGTTTGATCCTCACATCCCATCTGGTCCTTAGAGCACTACCAGGAGTGATTCCTGAATGCAGAGTTAAGGTGTTACGCCTGCGCACCACTGGCGTGGCCCCCAAAACCAAAACCCAAAAACAACAAAACCAAAAAAACAACAAAACCAAAAAACAACAAAACCCAAAAACCAACCTACCAGCCGAATAAAAATCCCAAAGGAACAGCTATTCCAACAAGCTTTATGTAAATAGAATTCTGATCATTTCTGCTCTAGCTAACCTAATACATTTCCACAGAGAGAAGCATCCATGATCTCTCTGAAAAACTGGAAAAACGTAGCATCTTTTTAAAGAGAGGACGACGCTCTGATGACTTCAAGGAAGCCACCAGTCATGTTGGCCACATCACTGGTGACAACTGAAGAAGTGCAAAGATCAAAAGAAAGAGCATGATCACCTTTGGTGAGAGGTGCCACCTCCTTGAGGGTCCTTGTGAGCCATCAGAAAGGGCACCAGATGATTGTCCACTCTGGCTGTGGCCACACACAGACTCCACAGAGCACCAGGCCAAGCCTGGTGCGTGACAAGTCCCAGAACCCAGGGCAGGTCTGAGCTTGCTTCTAACACTGCAAGGAGCACGGAGGCAGTGAAGGGTTGCTAGGAACCAAAGCTTTTTACCTTGAAAAACCATCCATGAGGTTGGATGGCAAAGGGTGTAAGTCAGTGCTGATAAGACGAATGTTGCTGCAGGGCTGGCCATCTGGGTATGGGGTTTTGCCAGTTCTCAGCTGACTTCCGTTATTGTTGCTTTTGTTTTGGGGTCACACTGGATGGTGCTCAGGGGTGACTCCCGGAGGGGTCTGGGGGACCATATGGGATGCCGGGAATTGAACTCAGGTCATGCGTGCAAGTGCTCTACCCCATTATCTCTTTAGCGCCTCTGAGCTGACTTTTAGTTATTTAATAAGATCTAGCAACTCTTGTCCAAAAAAAGATAAAATGGTTAACTTCCTACAACAGTACGAACTGTTAACTTGTTAAGAAAAGTCCATTTTGCCTCCCCAAGCATTCAGTATTTACACCAACATATACATTATGTCTCTTTCCTTTTGAGCATCTTGGGGAGAGCCAAGTTTAAAAAGGACAAATGCCATCACCCCCCAGCGAGCCCCACTCCTCATTCTATGTGTACAGTGCAGGACAGAATCACGGACGCCTGTTGGGGATGATCAGGGTGTATTGGGCGAGCGGGTCTTGGAGGGTTTCCGTGACGCAGTTGGCCGCAGCCACGGGAGCTGCTTTTGTTTTCCTGGTGGGATAACGCAGTCAGTGCTTCTTCAGAGGCTCAAACAGGATCACAGGCCAGATTCCCAAGAGAAACTGTTTGGAAAGAAGTTAGGAGAAGATGACAAGAGAAATCATGCCGGGCTACTCCTGAGGAGTGAGAAAGAGCCCTGGGCTGTGCCCGAGAGCTCGCTGTGTTTGCTCCACATGCTCAGGCAGCATATATGCCCAGCACAGTATATTTTCTCCACACTTGCTTGGTTTCTGTGACTGATTTATTTGTTTTTTTTTTTAATCATTTTTTTTTTTAGTGAAACACCATGAGGTACAGTTATAGACTTATAAATTTTTGTGCTTGGGTTTCAGTTATACAATGAGCAAATACCCATCCCTCCACCAGTGCCCATCCTCCCCCCCACCACGGGTCCTAGCATCCCTCCCACGCCCCATCCCCCCCATCCCACCCTGCCGCTGTGGCAGGGCATTCCCCCTTGTTCTCTCTCTCTTCTTTTGGGTACTGTGTTTTGCAAGAGAGGCATTGAGTGGCAATCATGTTTGGTCTATAAACTACTTTTAGCATGTCTCTCCCACCCTGGGAGGGTCTCACAACACCCTTCATTTGGTGATCTCTTCTCTATCTGAGCTTCCTTTTCACCTAGCACATGTGGCTGGCCTTCAAGTCATGGAGCAAAATTCCTGGTACTAATCTGAGCCATTCCTGGGTGTTAGTCTCCCGTTTTGTTGCTTTATGTTCCCCAGATGAATGCAATCTTTCTGTGTGTGACTAATTTATTTGAATCTATTAAATATTTTTTCTGTCAAGCATGGAGCTAGACTTTTTTTTTTTTTTTTTTGCTTTTTGGGTCACACCCCCGGCAATGCTCAGGGGACCATATGGGATGCTGGGAATTGAACCCGAGTTGGCCGCGTGCAAGGCAAACGCCCTACCCACTGTGCTATCACTCCAGCCCTGGAGGTGGACATTTAAATAATTTCAGTTCCTTTAAAACAACTGTGCAATGTGGATGTTTAATTTCCATTTTATTGATTTTTTTTTTTTTTTCAGTTTTGGGCCACACCTGGTGATGCTCAGGGTTTCCTCCTGGCTCTGCGCTCAGGCTTACTACTGGCAATGCTTGGGGGACCATATGGGATGCCAGGGAACGATCCTGGGTTGACCATGTGCAAGGCACGCATCCTACCTGCTGGACTACCATTCTGACTCCCATCCATTTTATTGTTGAAGAAATAAAGGCTTCATGAGTAAACCTTGCCCAAGGTTTCCTGGTCACAGTAAGTGGAACATATAAGACTTGAGGCACCTGGTTCCAACCTGTATCCCTCCGGTACTTCTCCCATGCTTTCTCTACTTCCCCCTCTGCCACATTTTCCCAGCACACACACACACACACACACACACACACACACACACACACACACACATGCAAGCACGGACTCACACACCCATGCACAAAGAGAAGAGATGGACTTACTTTCACTTTGGGCCTGGACCTCAGGTAAAGTGTTCTTGTATATAAACTGAAAGAGAACAGGGAAGGGGAAAGCTCTTTAGACTGAGTTTTAATTCCTACAAACTGGCTTGCTCACAAACTGAATTATAGTGCTTCTTATATGTGCAAAGGGAAAAAAAAGCAATATTGATATATCCTTGATTCATTTACTCTTGGTCTTGTGCTCTTAGTAGGATACTACGGAAGAAAGGGACCAGATCAATTCTCCCCCACCAATGTTCATAGTGTAGCTTCCACTCCTGATGGCTCTGATTCATCCACTGATCACTCACTTCATTTTTGATGATATATGATAGTAAAAATAAAAGATTTCGTCTCTCGCGGTTCCCTAACGATCAATATTGCACTGTGTCTGTCCCACAGCTCTTACCATTCTGGTTATCTCATACCAGAATTATAATTCTTGTTGAGCTAATATGCCTATTTCTGAAATACATGGTCCTTCCCTCACAATGGTTTGACGTATGATATTTCCTTTCAGCCCTGCAGTGGAGCCATGGTGCCACAGTGATCCATACTCATAGTGGCCATGCTTAGGATCTTGAGTTTGGACCCTTCAGCAGGTCCTGGTAGGCAGTACCAGTAGGCTCTCGTGTTGCTGAAGTGCCAGATAATCACACATTAGGGTGGACAGCCATTCCACATGTCAGTTTCAGTACAGTATTTAATAAATTCCAGGAGAGATTTGACACATTAGAGATTTTGCACAACTCTAGGCAAATATAAGTATTTTGACTTCTGTTCATTTGGATTAGGCTAAACTTTGATATTCAGGAGGATAAGTGTTTTAAATGCATTTTTCAACTCAACTGTATTTAACGTTTGCAATGAGTTGATTGCGATTTAGCCCCATCACTCGTCAAGAAAGATCTGGAATTTCATTGTCACCAACATAGATCATCAAAAGTGAAGTGGGCAACAACATGGGTGACCTTGGATGGTATTATGCTTACTGAAATAAGTCAGACAAAGACGATCATCATAGGATTTCACTCAGAAGAGGTAGACAGAGAAATCAAACAAATAAAATTAAATAAAACAAGAATAAACTTTTTTGACTTTTAAGACCAACTAGTGGTTATCAGAAGGTGAGGGAGAAGGGGGATGAATAAAGCAGATGAAAGAAGACAGGAGTTGGGTCTGGAGAAATCCTTTAGTGGCTGATCAAGGGTTTTGTACACACGAGGCCTGAGTTTGGTCCCCAGCTCCGTATGGTCCTGAGCAACACTGGGTGTGACACCTGAACGCAGAGCCAGGAGTAGCTCCCAAGCAGCACTGGTGTGGTAGGGTGAAGAGTAAAACAGGACTTTTAGTGGTGACATTGATATGGCACACATATGCCGATTTATTTTTATTTTTTTGGTTTTTGGGTCATACCCAGTGATACTCAGGAGTTACTCCTGACTGCCCTCAGGAATTGCTCCTGGCACTGCCCAGGGGATCAGTGCTAGGCAATGCCCTCTCTATTGTACTATCATTCCAGCCTCATATATGCTGGTTTTTAATGATGCACACCTGGGATACGTATAATGTTGTAATGAAATACAAAATTATTTCCATTTTATTTTATTTTTTGCTTTTTTGGGTCACACCCCACACTCCCGGCAGTGCTTGGGGGAACCATATGGGATTCTGGGGATCAAACCCAGGTTGGCTGCATGCAAGGCAAACACCCTCCCCACTGGACTATGGCTCCAGCCCCCCTATTATTTCCATTGTAAAGAATGAGAGAAAGGGGAAAATAGAAAGTACCTCCTACCTGAAAAGAATGTGAAGATAAGAGCCAAGGCCAGTTAAAACATGCCACCATGCATGAAACTGTGTGGCCACAGCGAAGACGGGTGGAATCTTCTTTCGGAAGCTCCTGGAGAGAGGAAAACACTATGTTGATGCCAAGTCTACAGCATCTGACATACCACCCGCAGACACGGCAACTCATCACTTTCCTTAAGTCTGTCGCTATACTGTTTCCTGGTTCCTTTCCTTTCCCTTTCTTCTTTTTTCCTTCTTTGGTAGTGTTGGGGAATGACCTCTGGGGCTTCACACATGTGAGGTGTGTACTCCACAAATGAGCCACATCCTGGCACCCCAAATATATATATATATATATATATATATATATATATATTGGATCAGATCGGATCACGGTCCTCCCATTGTTCATCAATTTGTTCAAGCGGGCCCAGTAACGTCTCCATCATGAGACTTGTTGTTACTGTGTTTGGCATATCGAGTATGTCACGGGTAGCTTGCTAGCCTCTGGCATATATGTATGACATATATGTAAGGAGGGGTATATATATACATATATATATACACATATATGTATATATATATATATCTTTAAAATAATGTAGGAGTACTGCTATTTATTCAGCCATTGATTAAGTTGACTGAATTGGGCATGAACTCCACACCCTAACTATATATATATATATATATAAAGGTAAAAGGTAAAGGCCCTCCCGTTGATCGTCGATTTGCTCGAGCGGGCCCAGTAACGTCTCCATTGGAGACTTTGTTGTTACTGTGTCTGGCATATCGAATACTCTCGGTAGCTTGCCGGGCTCTCCGAGAGGGGCGGAGGAATCGAACTCGGGTCGGCCATGTTGGCCGCTTGTAAGGCGAACGTCCTACCCGCTGTGCTATCGCTCCAGCATATACACACACACACACACACACATATATATATATATTTTTTTTTTCTTTTTGGGTCACACCCGGCGATGCACAGGGGTTACTCCTGGCTCTGCACTCAGGAATTATTCCTGATGGTGCTCAGGGAAACATATGGGATGCTGGGAATCGAACCCAGTCACCTGCGTGCAAGGCAAACGCCCTACCTGCTGTGCTATTGCTCCAGCAACTCAACACTCAGCTCTTGTCCAGAGTGATCATTTCCGACTACCATTGTCATAGTGGTCCCTTCTCTGTCCTAACTGCACTGCTCCCTCCCATTCCGTGGGCTCTTTGTAGTCTGGTTATCATTTCCTTTTGCAGTGCTGTAGTTTCTTAGTTTAATGTAGTCCCACTTGTTGATCTCTTTGCTTCCACTTGCTTGATCAGTGGTGTTTCATCCTTGAAGATGCCTTTAGCTTCGATGTCATGGAGGGTTCTGCCTACATTTTCCTCTATGTATTCTGGATTCAGGTCTGATGGGGAGGCCTTTAATTTACTGACTTGACTTTTGTGCCTGGCATTAGAAAGAGGTCTATTCTTGCTGTGCTTCATATTTCTTGCTCCTTTATTAAAGACTAAGTAACCATATATTTGAGGGTCTGTGTCAGGATATTGAACTCTATTCCATTGATCTGAGCGTCTCTCTTTATTCTAATACCATGCTGTTTTAATTACTGTACCTTTGTAGTACAATTTTAAGTTGGGGAAGGGGATGCTTCCCATTTTCTTTTCCCCAAGGATTGCTTTAGCTATTCGTGAGGATTTAGTTCCATATGAATTTCAGGAGTGCTTGATCTATTTGTTTGAAAAATGTCATGGGTATCCTTATAGGGACCTCAGTGAATCTGTATCTGGGTTTTTATTTTTTGATTTTAATTTTTTTTGCTTTTTGGGTCACACCTGGCAATGCACAGGGGTTCCTCCTGGCTCTGCACTCAGGAATTACTCCTGGCGGTGCTCAGGGGACGATATGGGATGTTGGGAATCGAACCTGGGTTAGCCATTGCAAGGCAAACGCCCTACCCACTGTGCTATCTCTCCAGCCCCATGGGTTTTTAATTTAGATTCTATTATTTACATCACATTAACAATCTCACTCATTAGCGGGGAAAGGTCAACTAGAAACATACAATTATTATTTTTATGGCTATTCTTATAAATTTGTTTGTTTTGGGCTACACCTAGACATGCCAAGGGTACTCTTGGTTCTGCACTCAGGAATCATTCCTGGTGGTGCTTGGGGGACACTATGGGATGCTAAGGGTCGAACCCGGGTCATCTGTGTGCAAGGTAAACACCCTACCTGCTGTACCATCACTCCAGCCCCTATCAAAAATTTTTGAGACAATTAGCACCCTTGAGAACATTCTTTGTGGGGCATAGTCTGAATTTTACAGATTGTCTTTCTGTGTTTTTTTTAGCAATATAGTCCTCTATTCACTGTGTTTACTCAGAACTGTTAGGTCACCAAATATCTAGTTGGAAAGACCCAGCAGTTAAACCTAGTTAACACCTGCATTTTAAGACCTCCAAACACAGTATCTCAGTGGCAGAGCAAAGTTCAGGCCCCTAAGTCAGAGATCCACTTAACAGAATTGCCGACAAGAGGGTAGAATTGAGGTGCCAGAGAGACTATAGAGATGCTAAAAATCTTGCTTTGCCTGTGGCTTACCCTGGTTTGACACTCAGCACTGTATGGATTGACCCCTGATCCAAGAGCACTGCTGGATGTGGCTCCAGCAATAAAAAGAATGTGGAAGAAATATTTCCTTGCTTTTTAACGAAAATAATATTAAGGATATTAAAGTACAAAATTATGTAGGGCTGGAGCGACAATACAGCTGGTAGGGCGTTTGCCTTGCATGCAGCTGACCAGGTCGACCCAAGTTTGATTCCTCCGCCCCTCTTGGAGAGCCTGGCAATCTATCGAGAGTATCTCGCCCACACAGCAAAGCCTGGCAAACTACCCATGACATATTCGATATGCCAAACATAGTAACAAGTCTCACAATGATACTGGGCCCACTCTCGCAAATCAACGAACAACGGAAGGACAGTGACAGTGGCAGTGATTTAGTACTATTTATTACAAATCCTCTACTCATTCTTTTTTTTTTCAGTCACTCTAATACATTAGGTAGATTTCAGACATAGACAACATTTGACTGTCACTGTCACTGTCCTCCCACTGTTCATCGATTTGCTCAAGCAGGCCCAGCAACGTCTCCATCATGAGACTTGTTACTGTGTTTGGCATATTGAATACGTCATGGGGAGCTTGCCAGGCTTTGCCGTGCGGGCGAGATACTCTCAGTAGCTTGCCGGGCTCTCTGAGAGGGGCGGAGGAATCGAACTCGGGTCAGTCATGTTGGCCGCTTGCAAGGCAAACGCCCTACTCACTGTGCTATCGCTCCAGCCTAGCACACAAAAATCCCTACTAATGTGCAGAAATTTTGTTTGGTCCCAATTTGGGGTTAATTGAAAATATTCTCAGAATTTATCGTGCTGTGCATGTCTTTCAAATTTCAACACCGGCAAAGATTAATTTTAAGGCCCTCATGATTCTATAATACCTAATGGAATTTTCTGCCCAACAGTTGCTTCCTAAAATACTTCTCAAAGATTAATAAAAATGTATCTTACCTCAGTGAATCACAGAAGATGTTATCTATGTTCCACAATAAAAATCCCAATAAAAATACACCTAAGGATGTATAGCCCAGTCCTCTCAGCCAAGGATAAACCCTGTGGGAAAGAAGAGAAAAAGCAACATGCAATTTTGTTGAGTCATTTCACTGTCAGAGACTAAAGTCATTCCTTTCCTGGGAGAGACCTGTCAGCTTCAAAGCAAACCTACCCATTCAGTTCCTTAATATGTTTGTCTACAGCACTTAATCAGTGAAAGGCATCAGGGAAATATGTACCACAAAGACTTGCTAAGCATACCAGAGAGGTGGCAGGAAGTGCCTGAGAATCCCATCAGGGTGGGAGAACAGAATCAAGGATGAGTAAGTGACCTGGTCTGTGTCAAGAACAATAGTCAGCTTAGTAAGCAACACACACACACACACACACACACACACACACACACAGATACATGAACTGTAAAGGGAGGGGTATAGATAGACACATAATCATATATAAACACATGTATCAATAAAATCTTCAAATAAACCATATGTAGCAAGCATTCTTAATCTTACTTATAAAAAACTAAAATTTAATAAATTTACCCGATATATATACATATATATACATTTATATATATATTTTTTGGGGTTGGGCACATCAGTAGTGCTCAGGAGTCACTCCTGGCAGTGCCAGGGGAACCAACTATGGTGCTGAGAATTTTTTTTTCCACTTTTTTGGGGGAAAAAAACCCACCCAGTGATGTTCAGAGTTATTCCTGGCTTTGCACTCAGGAATTACCCCTGGCGGTGCTTGGGGGACTACATGGGATGCCGGGAATTGAACCTGGGATGGCTGTGTGCAAAGCAAATGCCCTATCCGCTGTTGTGTCACTCCGGCCCTGGTGCTGGGAACTGAACCACAGTTGACCACAGAAAGGCATGTACACATGGAAAGTATCATGCTAAGCGAAATGAGTCAGAAAGAGAGGGATGGACAAAGAAAGATTGCATTCATCTGGGGAATATAAAGAAACAAAATATGAGATTAATACCCAAGAATAGCTGAGATCAACACCAGGAGGATTACTCCATAGCTTAGAGGCCAGCCGGGTATCCTAGAGGAAAGGGCAGTTCAGATGGAGAAGGGAGCACCAAATAAAGGGTGTTTGGAGGATCCTCCCAGGAGGGGAGATGCATGTCGAAAGTAGACTATGGACTGAACATGTTTGCCACTCAAAGCCTCTTTTGCAGACCACAACACCCAAAAGGAGAGAGAGAACACAGGGGATTGCCCTGCCACAGAGGCAGCGTGGGATGGGGGGGATGGGGGTGGGAGGGATTTTATCCATGGTGGTGGAAAATGGGCACTGGTGGAGGGATGGGTATCTGATCATTGTATAATCGAAACCCAAGCACAAAAAATTGTAAATCTACAACTGTACCTCATGGTGTTTCACTAAAAATAAAAAATAAATAAATAAATAAAAAATAAATTAAAAAAAAAGAAAGGCATGTACATGAGCACACACGCACGCATACACACAAAGTTTGGTTGTTGGACCTGTGATACTCAGGTATTCTAGCTCTGCACTGGGATCACTACTCTTCAGAATCAAGGGACCATATGGGATGCTGGGAATCGAACCTGGATGGTTGTGTGCAAGGTAAGTGCCTTACCTGCTGTCCTATCTCTCTGGCCCCTGTCCCTGATGTATATACTCGACAGCCACAATGAGGTATTCCATTGAATTATATTAAATGGCATATATTTAAAGTAGCCACCTATGTATATTCATGAAACCAATACCCAAACCCATCATCTCCAAAAGCCTAGACTGTATTTGTGAGAATATTATATCAATGGGATAAAAATGCAGTACAAACTCTTCGTATGGCTTCTTTCATTGGTGTAATTATTTTGAAGCTGACTGACCAACGTATTAATAATTCATTTCCTTATGCTGCCGAGTTATACTCTACTGAGTGGGCCACAATTTACGTGTCCAAATGTTGGTGGTCATTTGTATTGTTTAGAGTATTTCACCGTTACAAATAAAGTAGCTATATAAGTAAGACTTTGTATGGACATACGCACCAATTTTTCTGGGTAAAAATTGAGGAGAGATTGGTTGGGGCATATGGAATGCTAATATTAAACTTTAATTTAAGACACTACTGCATGTTTTCAGTATGTGATGATGTACCATTTTACATTCCCACCACACTGTTTGAGTGTTTATAAGTCTATATCCTCACCAATACTGGATGCAGCATTAACTGTTCGCATTTCAGTTCCTCTCACTTAGGAGTACAGTGGCATCTCACGATCTTGCTGTGGTTTTAAAGTGCATTTCCCTAATGATGCTTTTGTGGTGGGAGGGTGGGTGGGGGGATGGTGGCAGTTTCAGGGTTTGATCTATGTCTCATGTATGTCAGGCAAGTGCTTTGCCACCGAGCCGTACCCTGGTCCTCCCTAGTGACTCTTACACATAAGTACCTTTCAGTTGCTTATTTGTCACTCACACATCTTCTTTGACACAGTATTTGCAAAATTTCTGCCCATTATAAAAATTGTTATTTGCCTCATTATTGAGTTATAGTTTTAAATATATATATTCTAAATATAACTCTTTATTGGATATATATGTGTGACCCACCTTTCATTTTATTAAGACAGTTTGTGTGTGTGTGTGTGTGTGTGTGTGTGTGTGTGTGTGTGTAGCATTGGCTCATGCCCAGCAGTGCTCAGGGCCTGGCTGTGCTTGGTGGGTGGCAGGGGAGGCATTAGTCGTGCTGGGATACAACTGGGTTGACTTCATGTGAGGCAAGCATTACCTTCTCTACTATCTCTCCAGCCCCCTTAAGTGTCCTTTGAAGAACAAAATTTTATTTGCTAAAATTTGCTTTATTGATTTCCCCTTTATTATTTGAGCTTTATATATCTGAACAATTTAGAATTTTTAAACTGAGGTAAAATTGATGTATAACATTGCATTGGTTTCAGTTATAGACTATAACAATTGGGAGGCTGGAGCAATACTACAGTGAGTAGGGCATGTGCCTTGCACACATGGGTTTGATCCCCAGCGCCACGGATAACCCTCTGAGCACCACCTGGACTGATCCCTGAGCACAGAGCCAGGAGTAAGCCCTGAGCACTGCTGTGTGACTCAAAAGCTAAAAATAAAAGAATATAAAAATTGGATATTTGTATATATACTGTAAAATGGTCACCATAATAAACCTAGTTAACATCCATTTTTTATGTCCTATTTAATAGGTACCTAACCAAAGATCAAAAAGGCCCGGAATTTTTTTCTAAATATTTTAGGATACAGCTCACTTCCGGTAACTTTTCATATTGGTGTAAAGTTTAAGATCATTAAAATTAATAGGAATGTTGCAGCACAATTTACTGAAAACATTATTTTCTCTGCACAGAATTACCTTAGCATGTTTATGGGGCTGGCGAGATAGTGCGGTGGGAAAGGCACTTGACTGTGTGCACCTGACCTGGGTTCAACCCCCGGCATCCCATTGGTCCCCAGAGTACTGCCACGAGTGATCCCTGAGCATTGTTGGGTGTGAACCCTTCCACCACAAAAAAAAAAAGAATTATCCTAACATATTTAAAATCAGGTCAGTATGCATATGAAGTCTCTTTTGGGACGGTCTACTGCTCTCTATTTCTTTTTCTTTAGTTTTGGGTGATGCTCAGGGCTTAGCCCTATCTCTGTACTCAGCAATCACTCCTGGCAGGGTCAGGGGGAACAAATGGGGTGCCAGGGATCGGATCCGGGTCAGACATGTGCAAGGCAAGTGCTTTAAACTCTGAGTTATATTTCTCCAGTTCTGTTACAGCTTTTAAGAGTTTATTTTAACCCCGATTTGTGAGGACAGAGAACTGGTTCCAGGAAATAGCTGCACACGGTGTGGACAGCCTCAGCACAAGGGTTGACAGGGCATCTTAGAGGGTTGCAGTGCAGAACAGATACTGAGACACAACTGGTGGGTATGGAACGCTCTCCTTCCTGAGACTAAGCTTACTTACCCTGGCCTCTCTTCAGCTCTCAGCATTTGTTCAAATCAAAATTCTTCTGTGGGGTGAAATGAATGTCTTTGGTTATCCAGGTGGCAGGAGAGAGCAAGAACTTCGTCAGCATGTGGTACATGCAAGCGAGTCCTGATAAGACTCTGAGGACAAGCTACCCCTACTGATAGCAGGTTGAAGAGGGTACAGTGCAGAAGACCCTCAGTGTCTGTGTTGGAAGCCACTCTGCTTCATTCTAGACTGGCTGCCTCTCTAGAGTCGGAAAGATCCTGCCTTGACCTTCACCATGGGAATTCCTTCATCTGCAGTGAATCTTCATGTCTCGTATCTTTTCTTCCTTTGGTTTACATTCTCACGGTAGTTAAATGTGAACTCCGAAAGGCAATAATTCATGGGATAAGTTTTGTTTCTTCTTCTTCTTTTCTTTTTTCTCAGAGCTTAAATGTATGAAAACATATCTTGGTCCTATATTTTGTCGATAGTTTAGATGGGTATAGAATTTTCTGGTAGAAGTCCAGCTTCCAATTTTGCTTTAAGTTCAAAGTCATTCTGGTTTTTGATCCTAATGGACCTGTTGTATACCTTTTGTCTAACTATAAATTAAATTTGTGGAATTTCTCTTGTTTAGTATCCTAAAACTAGCACAGATCTATTTCCATTAGTTGTGCTGAATAGTCTGTGGCTTAAAAAAATCTAATTACTCATGTCTTTCAATTGTAAGATATGTATTTGTTGTTGTTTTGGGGTCACACCTGGTGGTATTGAGGGCTTCTGGTTTGGTGCTCCGGTGGACTTCTGGTGGACTCTGAGGGCTTCTGGTTTGGTGCTCCGGTCCACTTCTGGTGGACTCTGAGGACCATATGGGGTAGTGGCAGCTGAACTTGGGTCAGCTATGTACAAGGCAAGCAAATTACCCACTGTATTATTGCTCCAGCTCCAATTTAAAGACTCTGTTTTCAACTTTAAGATATTTCTGATCCATGAATAGGATTGAGTGGGAGGGCATATAATTAGCATGCATGAAGCCCTGAGTTTGATTATGGCACAACATGGTCTCCAGGTATGTACTGCCAGGTACGGCCCCTATTAAATATTAAAGAATTTTAAGCTATTTCTTCAGTTACTTTGGTGATGATTCCTCTTTTCCATTTTCTCTTTACTTCCACCTTTAATTTTGGTCATTCTGTTTTAGCACAGTAATATTTTACAGAGACTTTTTTTTTGTAGACTTACAAATTTTTCTGCTTGGGTTTCAGTTATACAATGATTGCGTACCCATCCCTCCACCAGTGTCCATTCTCCACCACCAATGATCCCAGTATCCCTCCCCCCCAAAAAAAAATCAGAAGAAAGGCGATAAGGGAAGCAGAAAAGTCAAGATAAGTACAAAGCTGAAAAAAAGAAGCAGAAATAGCTAAACATTTTTAAAGTGAATTATTTTTATTTCAAATTTAAATTTGAAATAAAAAGTAACCCACAGTTATTAATCATTTAAAACAAGGGGCTGGAGCGATACCACAGCGGGTAGGGTGTTTGCCTTGCACGCAGCAGACCCGGGTTCGATTCCCAGCATCCCATATGGTCCCCCGAGCACCGCCAGGAGTAATTCCTGAGTGTATGAGCCAGGAATAACCCCTGCGCATTGCCGGGTGTGACCCAAAAAGCAAAAAAATAAAAAAAAAATAAATAAAACAAGTGTGTTTTATTTTGAACTGTATTAATCAGGAAACCTCTTACTCAGGACATCAGTTCTCTGTCCATTATCCTTGCCCCTTTGCTGCTGTTGTGATGGTGACGGGGAGGCTCACCCACACTTGGCTGTGGTGTTCACTGGGATTTGCATACTTGATCACAGTGCTCACACACAGCTCGTTACAGTGCACTGCACATCACGTGCTTTGTTGTGGCACCATGGATCTCAAAGGGGGTACCTCTGGGATCACACTCAGCAAGTATGATGGTGTCAGGGATTAAACTACACTCATGCCTTCCAGGCAGGGGCATTCCCACTGGGCTATTTAAATCAACCAGTTCTGTTGAACTTTGCTTAAAGTTTGTATCTGATTTAATACTTATTCCAGGTATGTTTACAGTGGTAGGGCATTTGCCTTGTGTTCAGCCGGTCCAGCTGAGCCAGGTTTGATTCCTTCGCCCCTCTCGGAGAGACCGGCAAGCTACCGAGAATATCTCGCTTGCATGGCAAAGCCTGGCAAGCTACCCATGACGTATTCAATATGTCAAACACAGTAACAGCAAGTCTCACAATGGAGATGTTATTGGGCCCGCTCGAGCAAATGGATGAACAACGGGAAGACAGTGCAGTGCTACAGTGCTTAAAAGACCATTACTTGTTAAGTGTTTTACTGAATATTTTAGTTATTGCATTACTTAAACTTTATCAGAATTCTCTCCCGGCCCCAAACCAACCCATTATCACCGGGGCACCCCAGGTGAAGCAGGTGCAGTCTCCCCGCCTACTCCAGATGGAATTGTGGTAACCAAGAGCTTTCACAAGCAAGGCCCAGGTATGTGGGTTCAGGACTAAATCTCCAGGTTGCATGATGGCAGAGGACCCAGGCTGTCCCTCCTCAGGTCACCGCCCACCCAGAAGACTGGCTGTCAAACCCACAATTTGCCCCCAGACACCATCTTAGCACACCAATAACCCTGGCCCAGAGACTCCCAATTGAATCCCAAAGTGGATGAGTGCCATACAGAGATGTCTCCGGAACCCAACCATTTACAATCTAGAAATTTACATTTACAATCATGGCCGTGTGAGCTCTTGTGATATTCTAAATGAGATATTGAAATATATTATCTAGACTCTGCCCCTGGCAGGTAGGCTTGACTGGTGGTGGGAAAATTCGAGCAAAATGAATGCCCAAAATTAGAGAGGGAGTATTGGGGAAATTGGCTGCCATAGAGGCAGGATGAGGCCTGCAATGTGTGTGTGTGTGTGTGTGTGTGTGTGTGTGTGTGTGTGATACTTGGGACATTGATGGTATAAAATGTGCACTGATGGAGGGATGGGTGTTCCATCATTGTATGGCTGAATCTCAAACATGAAAGCTTTGTAACTATCTCACAGTGATACAATAAAATAAAAAAGGGAAGATGTAAGGATTTCTAAAAATGCAACTGGAAAAGAAGAGAATCAATTTCACTTAGAAAATGGGAGAGAGATATGATCCAATCACATGCAGATAGCAAATAAACGTACTAAGTTTAACAGATTCAGTCATCAGGAAAGTGAGAATTGAAGCCACAATAGGGTGGCTTCTACCTGGTGTTGGCAGGGAGGGCACAAGGCACAGGGAATGGCAGATGGAAGATACAGGAAGTTGGGCAATGTTGAGAAAAATGAAACATGATGAATACAACCCTAACAACTCCACTTAAATATTTATTTCATAGAAACAAAAACTTACATTCCCAGAAAGATGTGTAAACAAATGTTCAGAGCTATTCTATTCCTGAGCATCAAAAACTGGATGCAGTCCAGGTGTGTCTGAACAGGTGAGCAGCTACACTGCAGTATGAGCATATGGTGCCATGCTCAGCCACAGGACTGATATACTCAGCGGTTTGCATGATCAACAGTAAATCAGGCTGAACACAAAAGGCTAGTTCCAAAGGTTCAATATACTGCCTGCTTCCACTTTATCTAATATTCTTGATATGTAAAAATATCAAGGAAATAATATACAAATGGAGGAGCTGTACAGCTGGTAGGGCACTTGCCTTGCACATGGCTGACTCGGGTTCAATCTCTGACATCCAATATGGTCCCCTGAACATCGCCAGGACTGATTCCTGAGTGCAGAGCCAGGAGTAATTCCCGAGCGCCACCAAAAAGACCAAAAAAAAAAAAACAAAAACAAAAACAAAAAAAAACCCAACCCCTCCCAAAAAAAACCTCAAAAAACAAAGCAAAAAAAAAAAAGGTAAAAACAAAATAAAAGACAACATACTGGGGTTAAGGAGGAGCAGGCAGGCGGAAGGGAAGAAGACATTGCTGTAAAGGACCACATGAGGATGCTATGGTGATGGAATGTTCTGTATTTCCACACTATCACTGCCAAATCCTGCCTGTAATATTGTTCTGCATTTTGGAGGAAATTGTTACAGGCTAACGAGGATTTTTATTATTTCTTGAAAACGTATGGGCTTCTATAACTACCTCAAAACAAAGTGTTAAATCATATTTATTCACTGACACCCACTGTACGGCTATGCCCTGGGTAATATGGATATTTCTTACTTAATCTCCATGTGTTCAATAAAAAGTGAGTCTATTTCCCATCTTTATGAAACTCAGATTCATTGTGATATTCATGGCCATCTTGATAGTTATTACAACATAGGGATATCCTAGTCAAGTAGTTTGAGAAAAAGAAAAACACTTTTAAACTATAGAATACTTTAAGGTCCTTAAAATACACTGATATCATATAATATTCTAGAGAACTTCATCAGAGCAGCTTTCCTCAAATTTTTTTAGTTTTCGGGCTTGTTTTCACATGCTTATTAACTTGCTTAAAGAACTAGTATTGGGGCTGGAGTGATAGCACAGTGGGTAGGGCATCTGCCTTGCACGCGGCCAACCGGAGTTCGATTCCCAGCATCCCATATGGTTCCCCTGAGCACTGTCAGGAGTAATTCCTGAGTACAGAGCCAGGAGTAACTCCTGTGCATCGCTGGGTGTGGCCAAAAAAAAAAAAAAAAGAAACTAGCATTTCTGGGACCAGAGAGATAGTACTGGACCCCCAAATCGGCCCCTGAGACCCACAGGAGTAATCCCTGAGCACAGAGCCAGGAGTAAGTCCTGAGCACTGCTGGGTCTGGCCTCCAAAACAAACAAACAAACAAACGTAGCATTCCTTAAAATCATAATGCTGATCCATAAATGCTATGTTATAATATTGAATCATAAATGTTGTGCTATAATTTCCTATCATTAGCCCAGTTGGAGCTGGTTTCTTATGTGTTACTTCAATTTTGACAATAGGTTTACCACCTGAAACTATTCTGCGCATAGTGTTGCTGATCAAACTACTTACCATGTAACAATATAAATAGATCGAAGTACTAGGGTGAAGACCAACATTCCATACATGACCTGAACAAGAAAGGAAAAATGAAGTTAGTACATCCAATACTCTTGTGAGAGAAAGCGTATGCTACCTACAAAAATATCTCTCCTAATTAAATGTAAATATTATCTTTCATTACATTTCTTAAAAAGGAGTTTTTAGAAGCCAGAGTGATAGTACAGGTGGTATGGTTCTTGCCTTGCATGTGGCCAACCTCAGTTCAATTCCCAGCACCCTAAATGATCCTCCAAGCACCGCCAGGAGTGATTCCTGAGCACAGAGCCAGGAATAAGCCCTGAAAACCACTCGGTGTAGCCCCCAAACAAAATAAAACAAAATTTTTTTTTAAATGTGTAATTACATAATAAAGAATCATTTAACCCTTTGAGAAAAATTTAAGCATCTGCTTGAGAATTATTCTCTCTCTCTCCTCTCTCTCTCTCATAGAGAATAACCAGTATCAGGTTATTTTAATTTAAATTAATTTAAATTTTGTATAGTTAAATAATTTTTTTTAAGTGGGACCAGAGAGGACAATGGGTAGCTGATGGTACTCAGGGGTCATTTCTGATAATGCTTAGGGGGCCCTATGTGCTGTGGGAGTTGATCCAGGTCTGCTGCACGATCTCTCCAGCCCCGTGTCTTGATGTTTTATATTGTTTCTTTCATCAGGACTTGACATGATCTTGCTTAGTATTTCTGGGCTCTCTATTAAATGAAATCCAATGAATAATTAGTAGAACTGTTCTAGATCCTGGGATATAAAATGTGAATAAAGGGTTACTATTCAGCTGCGAGTAATGCAGGCCTCGTTGGGAAAGACCCTGGTCACCCGGCCTTGGACAGGACAATTAAGCAAATGTTCTAAGTTCATTTAACGTGAGCTTTGGCCGTTACGAAAGGCTGAACCCAAATTTGAAGCTTGGGGCCCATATGGAGAGAGTATATAAGAGACACACCACCAAGAATGCTAGGAAAAATGGATTATTGTTGCTTTGGGTTACAGTGACTCCCACAACACTTGGTTTTTCTCTCTTGCAGCAGTATGTGAACCTCAGGTGGACATCTGAAAGGGCCAAAGAAGCGGTTTAGGAATCGCTCTGCATCTAATGATGAGATAAAAATGTGACGTCTCAGGACTTTACCACTTGACTCACTATGTGGGAAAAGTACCTGTGTCTCGAATAGAAAAGGGCTCAACAATTCTAAGCTGTGCAAACCGTCTCTTAAAGCCCAGCTACTCAAAAAGATAATTTGGTAGTAATCAAAGGTCTCTCTTCCATGAAGTTATTTTTTTTTTAAAGTGATTCCATGCTGTGAGTAAAGGTATTACTGTTAGACACGTTTTGCGTGAAGGTATGACTGTTAAAGAACGTGGTTTTCAAACTGCCTTTGCTAGTACACTAGGTTCCCACAAGCTAGACCAACGTGTTCACCAGCTAAAGTCAAATAATGGTGGTCTTTGTCCCAGGTCTAAAAAATCTTGATAGAGTGTTATTTTTTTTCCCTTTATTTTTATTTTATTTTATTTTTTTTTTACAGTTGTAGATTTACAATTTTTTGTGCTTGGGTTTCGATTATACAATGATCAGATACCCATCCCTCCACCAGTGCCCATTTTCCACCACCATGGATAATATCCCTCCCACCCCCATCCCCCCATCCCCCCTGCCTCTGTGGCAGGGCAATCCCCTGTGTTCTCTCTCTCCTTTTGGGTGTTGTGGTCTGCAAAAGAGGCATTGAGTGGCAAACATGTTCAGTCCATAGTCTACTTTCGACATGCATCTTCCCTCTTTACAATAGCCAGAAACTGGAAGAAACCTGAATGCCCAAGAACAGATGACTGGTTAAAGAAACTTTGGTACATCTACACAATGGAGTACTATGTAGCTGTTAGAAAAGATGAAGTCATGAAATTTACATACAAGTGGTACAACATGGAAAGTATCATGCTAAGCGAAATGAGTCAGAAAGAGAGGGATAGACATAGAAAGATTGCATTCATCTGGGGGATATAAAGTAACAAAGTATGAGATTAATACCCAAGAATAGCTGAGATCAGCACCAGGAGGATTACTCCATAACTTAGAGACCAGCCGGGTATCCTAGAGGAAAGGGCAGCTCAGATAGAGAAGGGAGCACCAAATAAAGGATGTTTGGAGGATAGAGTGTTATTTTTATATTTCTTTTCCATGAATGTTTTTAACCTGTAAATGCCTGCTACTGAATTTAAAAAATTATTAAGCTTGATGGGAATATTTACTAAAAAAAAAAAAAAAAGTGACATCTGCTGTATTCTCCACATGGTATCTTTAGTTATTTACTTACTGTTTTGGGGCCATTCTTGGCTGTGTTCAGGGGTTACTCCTGGCTCTATGCTCAGGTGTCACTCCTGGCAGGTTCAGGGGACCATATGGGGTGCCAGGGATTGAACCCGGGTCAGCCACGTGCTATGTGGGCGCCCCACCCACTGTACCATCGCTACAGCCTCAGTCAACTTAAACCCATCACTGTAGTCCAGCTGTCACACTGATGAAGAAGAAATTTCTGTCTCAGCAATTAAAATCCAATAAAGATGGAGAAAATGTAATTGGGCAATTAGAATATAATACACATCCTACTTTGTACGCCTACAGGAAGGTGACCTGATATAGATTTACATAGCTTAGAATGAGAAAGAGAGGGAGAACTGTCTCCATAGGTAGCTTGCCAGAGGGTGGGGGTGGAGGCAGTGGGGGGGATAAGACAGGGAAGGGGACACAAGGACAGTGGCAGAGGGAAGGGAAAGAGGACAGTGATGGGAGTAATGGTGAAGGGATGGGTGCTTAAACGTAGTACTCCCAAAATTCAATTACAAATATCTTTGTACGTTTGTAATTCATAGCTGATTCAATAAAAAAATAAGTAAATAAAAATAAATAAATCAATGAAAAAGAAAGACTCCCATGGGAAAATAAGGTGTTAAATTCTATAACTGAAGCGTTAGTAGAAGGATATTAATAATGATTAATATGAAATGGTGGGAGTGATTAACTGGCGTATCTTATACTGTGGGGCGCTGAAGAGAGTAGAGAGAGCTCTGAGTTGGATATCTGGGCATAAACCTAAGAATAATCTCAGCTGAAGAAACTGATTTAGGAATCATTCATGTGCAGAAATCAGGGAGTGTTCAGGGAGTTTTGCTCACATAGCAAACGACGCCTAAGGAAGCAACAATCCGCTGTAAGTACCATGAGGCTTTTCCACATTAGTTTTAAACTTTCCATAAGCCGCTCTTCTACTCCTTTCTGATTCTCCCCTAAGAAACCGTGGGAGACCCTTCTGACAACCGACTCTCCTCCTGACCTTATGGAAGGCTGATTTTATTCAATGGCAAAACACTGAGCTATGACATTTGGGCCTCCCAGATTCTCTCTCTCTCTCTCTCTCTCCCTCTCCGTCTCTCTCTCCCCCCCCCCCCCCCCCGCCCCTTCCCCTTCCCTTGTTTTTGGGTAACCCGGTGATGCTCAGGGCTTACTCCTGGCTCTGCACAAAGAATCCCTCCTCGTGGTGCTTGGAGGACCATAGGATGCCGGGGACTGAACCTGGGTCGGGGGCATGCAAGGTAAAAGCCCCCTGGGCTGAACTATCACTTTGGCCCCCCTCCCAGCCTCTCTTGCAGCTACGATGAGAATGGCCACATCTCTACAACCTTTATCCTCTCCATATTCTAATATCAGCACTTTTTAAATTTTGAAAGATAATATATATTAATTTTCTGCTCCTTGAAATTTTTATTGAATTTTTAAAAAATTTTAATTTTTTTATATTGAAAAATTTTTACAGTGAATTTTTGTATCCTTTCACATTTATTTATTTATTTATTGGGGCTACACCTGGACGTGCTCAGAACTTGCTCCTGCCTCGGCTCTCAGGGATCACTCCTGGTGGAACTTGAGGAACTATATGTGGTGCTGGGGACTGAACCAGGGCCAGCTGCACGCAAGACAAGTATTTTAACATCTGTACTACCTCTCCAGTCCAATTTACATGCTGAATAGATTTTTGTAATATGTAAGCTCCAAAGATTACAAAAATATCATAGCGGTACTTTTTTTCCCCTGCTAAATATCCTTGGATTATGCTATTAAACTGAAACCTGGCATTAATTGTCAAGGGCCCTATAGCATAACGGGGGACAGTAGGTTGCATTTTTTGTTTGACAGTGAAAAAAGAAAACTAAGAGGAAATTTGGAGGAAGACAGAAAAAGACTAATGTTCTATTTTGTGAAATGACATTAAGATGCGTGTGTGACAAAATCTGAAGATGGATCAAACCAAGAGGTAACTGAGGGCAAATTTAATGGGGGGGAGGGGTGTGGCGGGGGCAGCAGTACAGGGGGCCTTGGAAACTGTAGGTATACGGTAATTATTTTATTTTTTTTTTAATTTTTATTAGTGAAACACCATGAGGTACAGTTGAAGACTTAGAAATTTTTGTGCTTGGGTTTCAGTTATACAATGATCGAATACCCATCCCTCCACCAATGCCCATTCTCCACCACCACGGTAATTATTTTGATGACACTGACAAATACTGACTTTCCTTTCCTTTTTGTTGTTGTTTTTGGGTGGTGCTCAGAGCTCACTCCTGGCTTTGCACCTAGAAATCACTGCTTGGGGCGCTTGGAGCCAGCTTGGGGCCATTGAAATTGGACCAGCTGAATGCAAGGCAAATGCCCTACCCACTGTACTATTACTCCATAGTTTTTTTTTTTCTTGCAAAACTTGGGAGTCAAATAAGAACGGAAAAGGCCAAAATGTTGATAAGCTATCTCTAGAAAATATCTCTAGGAGACATCTGCATTGGCAGGGAGTTTTCAGTCAATGACATCAGATGAGACCTTATAGGCTCAGCAGTTTCCTAAATGTTCTTTCACTAATCTCATGCACGTTTCAGTTTTGTTTCCTTGCTTAAGATATTTTGGGACTTTTATTGAACGTGGCAGCCATGCAGTTGGAGTATGGCTCTTTGGATGGCCATGAA